ATCTATATGTAAAAAATGTTACATTTACATCACATCATGGATCACATATTGATCAGATGCTGCTGCTGATTGATCAACTCTGTTGATGCAATCAGAAGGGAAACTTCACCAAAGTGAAACGTAAATCTGTTGATCTGTGTTTGATTACTCTGCCTGGCCTTCTCAAGGACCAATTGAATTTTGGAACTGAAAGTGAAAGTAGTCAAACTGAATTTTTCAGGCAGATTATTTTTTTCTAATTTCAAGCCAAAATATCTTATTTAACTTTTTTTCTTATTTTTGGAGTAAAGTGAGTAAATCGTAAACGGAGCGCCTGCTGAGGTGGGCGATAMAATAAGACGATTTTCAAAAACTGACCACACAAACATCAAATTCAGAGACTGAAACTGAATATTTACCAATTTTCTCACAGTTTTATATCTTCAGAAGTCACACCGCAGTGAGATACCACCCTACACTGACATGCACTGAGGAGTTAATTAAGTTAAATTAAATTTCTGATTTTTTTGTGAAGACATCTCAGTTCTATAAGGCAGCTTCTGAAGTTCCAGACTGCAAAGCATTAAAAGGTAAAACCTGCTGGAGAACAGGCTTATTTAAAGGGTAAAAACTAAATTAAAAAGGACTTAAAATTTGAATTTGAATAAAAAATACCAGAAATCCCTAAAACCATAATTACACCACTCGACATGAATTTAAGATATCGCATCCAGAGAAGACAAAACCAACGTATCTTGCAGTAAAATGTGTCTAAAGACCATTTGAGCTGATTACTGCAACTCATTCAGGTTCCTTTTGTCTTTTGGCAGATGTTGTTTCCTTAAAGTCACAGATAAGTAAATCCATCTGCACCGACTAAACCCTCCGTCGGCCAAACAAATCAGACGAGCCTAATCGTGATCCAGAATCAGACTGTTTATCTTGGATCTGTCARGGATTCCCAGAGAAGGAGCTTGTGGGCAAAAGGATGGAAAATCTGTTCTGGTTCTGTTTTTAGAGATCCTGGAGCTGACCTGGTTCAGCCTTATTGATCTCTGCGTGTTTGTGTTTGTTTGTGGCGACTTTTACTGTCCTGGATGTGGCTGTGGATAAACGTTTTTCTGTCCCCAGCTGGAGTTTCAATTCCTCACCATGATATATTTAGTGGTGCAACAAAAAGCCTTTTGCAGCGAGATCAGTCAGGAAGTCCATTTACCTCGGAGGTGAAAATTAGCATCGTTACATGGGACAGCGCTGTAGAGATGCTGGTGTTTCATGGCTGTGGTCAGAGTTTTGACAGAGGATCCCCCGTTTAAACAACACAAACCCACAAAGACCAGCCCCATCCATCATTGTCCCATTTGGCTTACATAAATACAGCAGGAGTGACATCAAAAGTAGCCACAAATGATAGATGAAGCAGCTGTGCAGATGGGTAAACGTCTGCCTGTTGCTTCCCAGCTGTAACCCACATTGGACCGCTATCTCCACAAGCCAACACCCAGCTGTCTCAGTTTCAAAGACAGATCCCCCACAAATCCCACAGTGAGAATTTAACAAACATCTACTCTGTCCTTAAAGCAGCCGAACATCAACAGCCTCCTTAAACCCAACGCCGTTTTTCCTCCCACTGCGAGCTTTCCCAGCCCGGCGTTACAACCCTGCAAGGCTCATCGGAACGTCTTTAAAAAGAATTTGACGCTTTCGTTCGAAGCAGAAAATAGCTCCAATAAAAAGAAACACCCTAATATTCTGCAGAGCGCCATCTTTTCATTACATCCACAGCATCCAGCTGGTGTTTAACTGAACCTGCTGTGCTGGATATCAGGAAACGGTTTTAATAAAACCTGCAGGATTATCAGTCATTCAAGTGAGTCTAAAGCTGTTTTTTTTTTTTTTTTGAATGACTGTGCCGTTAGATCTTTGAGTTTCTTTGTTCCACTGCAACCTTCTTATCAGCCATGCCAGCTCAGACACAACCACCTGGGTTTTTCCTGATTTCCCTCCTCGGAGCTCGAACGGAACTAAGATAGCCACCAGCATGGGGGACCCCCTTTGACGTGCCTCTCGGGAGGATGTTTAGGACAATTCAGAGGCTTTTATTATTTTCCTASCCAAGGTTCAAAAGTGGAATGTTTTGAGAGGCTGAGCTGTGAGCGGCCTTTCCCTTACGTCAGCGACACAATGGTTCGTGTGTACGTGGAGGGGGCATCTGAGAAAACCTGTTCACCCCTACAGAGACCACAGTGGCAATGGCAGCCATCTTAAATTNATTTTACATTTTGCTCCAGGACCGTGCAAACCGAGCAGCATCGGAGCTGTTCTGGACGTTGCCCAAACTGCGACCGTGTCCTGGCAGCCCGGAGCAGGAGCGGAGTATTACGTCGGCCTGATGACGTCTTCATCGGGCCACGCTAGCCGCTGCTCCACCAACCTGACCGGCTGCCAGCAGAGCTCCCTGCAGTGTGGAGAGGAGTACAACGTCACCGTCGTTGCAGTTGGAGAGACGTGTAACAGCTCCGCTCAGATGGCGGGGTACCTCACCACAGGTACAGATCCGTGTGAGTGCCGGTGTGTGTTTGGTGATTGCTTCATTTTTATTTTTGTTTTTCTTTTCCTCAGCTCCCTGCCTGCCCAGCCAGCTTCATGTTGACGTCAGCTGCGAGTCTGACGGTGACGCTGCGGTGTCCTGGAGCTCAACCTCCGGCGCAGCAAACGTTTCGCTGAAGGCCCTCGTTGGAGGGACTCTTCAAACTCTGTGCACCACCCAGCAGAGCGGCTGTAACGTGACAGGTTTAAGCTGCGGGGAGACGTACAGTCTCAGCCTCGCCACCAGCAACGAGCAGTACAGCCTCACTGCGCCGGTGCATGTCAACCTCACCACACGTACGTTTAAAACACAGCTCCTTTCATGGCAGCGTTCAGTCTGTTTGTCCACAAGGTGAATATTTCTCCATCCAACACCTTTTCTTTAACAGGGCCCTGCCCTCCTCAGAGTGTGGCCGTCAGCATGCAGTGTGGCTCTCGTACCGCTGACCTGTCCTGGGAGGGACAACCTGATGTTGAGCTGTACACAGCAAGTGCAATCAAAGCTTCAGGGGGAGACGTAACAAAATACAACTCCACAGGCTCGAGCTGTCGGTTTTCTGGCCTGGACTGTGGAGAAACGTATACCTTTACAGTCAGAGCGTACGGTCAGGGCTGCTGGAGCCTGACCAGTAACACCGTACTCATCCAAACAGGTACAGAGGCTGAAGACGGATACAACCTGTCCTGGAGGACAGCTCAACACAATGACTGTTCTCTCTCTCTCTCCNCTTTATTTTTTTGAGCAGTATAGTTTCCCCATAAAGAAACATTGAAATCAAACTCCTTCCAAAATATTGAAATCAGCTTCAGCACTCTTACTCTATTTTTGTCTTTATTTTGTCACCTTTAATTTTTAGGCACTATTTGGCTAATTTTAGCTTTTAGCTGGAATTTGATGACTTTTAGTTTTTAACTATTTTCATCCACCCTTCTCCTAAAATAACCTTAAGCTAGCCTTTTGCTATTGTTAGCAAGATATTCAATAATGTTGGCTATTATCTGCTAATATTATCTTTTTCTCAGCAGCTACACCTTTTCTACTTCAACTCTTATCTTGTGTTTTGCTTTATTTTAGCTTTTAGCATTTGCTGTATTTTGGTAGCCTTTAGCTAAAATTAACTTTTGGCTAGTCTTTTTTTCACCATTGGTGTCCAGCTACCATTTTACTGCCTTTAGCTAATATTTTGGTACTTATTGCATTAATGACTCATTTTCAGCCTTTTTATCAGATTTCAGCCGTCATCATCACTTAGTTTTCACAGGAAAAAAGCATTTATTTAGTTTTGACTTTGCATTTGTTGTGTTTTACCTGTGACTCGTGTCCCTCCTCTCTCCACAGGTCCATGCACTCCCTCACACGTGGCTCCCTCTCTGCAGTGTGAGATGGACAGAGGCTCTGTCAGCTGGAGTCCCAGTGATGGTGCTGAATCATACGTTGC